ATCAACACCAACACCAACACCAACACCAACACCAACACCAACACCAACACCAACACCCACACCCACACCCACACCCACACCCACACCCACACCCACACCCACACCCACACCCATACCAACACCAACACCAACACCAACACCAACACAAACACAAACACAAACACAAACACAAACACAAACACAAACACACAACGCACATATAAGCAAAACACCTAGTAAAATGTGTTCACGCATCACGGAAAGAGAGTAGGCAACTGTTGGCATTTGGGTTCAGCCCGTTTCCACATCACTGGCAACCTTGGTGCGCATAGCTGCGATTGCTCTTTGGCCCCTGCTCATCAACTCATTCACGGCTTTGAACGCAGGCAGTACACTATACATGTTTCAGCCTGCATGTCATCACAAACCTGGTGCGTCAGTCTTTCCTCGACCTGCACCACATCGCCATGCACTTGAGAACCACGCGCGGGACCATGACCACATGTTAGGTTCGGGTTTGGAGCGCTTGTTGCAGAATTCGGAACATGGGCAGGTGGCGTGGTCGGGGATGTCTGCTGTGATTGATCATGTGACGGCAGCGTTGCGTGTAGAATTTTGGATCATGCGATCCAATCCTGAGCAAGCCTGTGCAGACCGACTCAAGCGTAGCATACAATAGACTCCGCTCTGCAGTGTTGATATGCATTGATTGTAGCCCGAGAATCGCGCCCACGATTAACCTGAACATAGATGGAATTGTCGTGGTGTTATCAGCAGCTGGCAGGAAGCAGCAGCCACCTTGGCAGGGACAAGATGTAACTAGCAATGACGTCAGATACCCGATTTGCAACGGTTATTAAGCAGGGAGCTGGCCCGGAGGATGCCTTTGTAGGTGTCGGATAGGTTCCTACAGTCCTTCCCCGACCAAACCCATCTTTTGCAATGGTAGGTCCCTGTGTCTGCATAATGAAAGTGACGCCTGAAAAGCATTCTCAAGCTTGGCTGCTCTGGGCTAAACCCAACGCGGACAGCCCGACCATCTATGCTGCCCTTACCAGCATCAAGCAGCGACAGTTCATTGGCCTTGTTAAACAGAAGGCCGTGACAAGGCCCGAACCAGGAGACTTGAATGCTACAGAAAACCCAGGACTTTAGTAAATGCCCAAACCGCAATAGGCGCAAAGCAGAACGCCCCAAAGCCGAAAACCAGGCCACGCTCCCTCCAGGGGCTCGTGGCCATTTTTCTTCAGAGGCGACTCAGTAAGGCTAGCTGCCCAGCTGTGTCTCAGCCTTTGGGATTCAGGGTGCAGTTAGGTCCAGGGTATGTCACATGCCCTGAACCTAACTGCACCCTGAATCCCGGTTTAGGGGTTGGAGGGTGCAGGGATGATGGGTCTAGGGAGTTCAGTCACTGACAAACGGTTGTTTTCGTTTCAGGCCCTGTCAGCATGAAAGCAGGGCAAGCATGCGGGCAAGGGGCCGTCGAAAGATTTAAAGGTAGAGCTCATCGGACGTGTTGCAGGCTAACATTCCTCACATCGTCTCTCCATTGCTGGAAGCTTTCCTCGCCATCGCCTGGGACACTTAGGAGAAGACACCACCACTAACGGTGGCAGTTCTTGTAGGGGCAGCGGTTTCCACCAGCTTCTTCAGGATCAGCGGCTGACGGACTGGCAGCAGAGCCCGCTCACACAGGCCCATGGATACATGCCCTGAAGTACACAGACACAAATGACGAAAAGAATTTGTTCGAGATGTCTGCGTCCTTTCCGGGCTTAGGCATGCAGGATTTGTACAGGATGCTGCCGAGCACCTGGAGTCTCGATCGACATCTCCAAGTAGATGAGTTGGCACAAGGACAAGGGCGCAACTAAGCCGAACAAGGTTTGGAGACACCAATCTGTGCAACAGACGTGCTTCACGGGAAGGCATAAAGTGGGTTGTAGTGGGTTGACTCTGGCATGTTAGATTCTACTACGCATCGCTGAACGCACTGTAACTATTTGATGCTGCTCATCAAGGAATGATCTGTGCTGTCATGACTTCTCCTAGTGATTGCTTGCTCGGTCTGCTGACACGACATGTTTTGCTTCCGCGCCGGAAACCTTCGGAAACCTTGCGGGATCTTTTTGGGTTCATACCATCTTACAACAATGCCTCAAAATGAATTAGCCGTTTGTGGCACAGGAACCCTGCAAGTGTTTGCTGTCATTGACCTGGCTGTGTATGCTAGAAGATGAAATGTATTGCTGTTGTTCACTCGTTCCTCTTCGTTCACCCTTCTCACCACCTCTGCTAGCGCTGCTGCTTCTGCTCGTCCTGATTCTGTTCCACCTGCTCCTAATGCGGAACAACCACAAACAGAACAGCAGCGACTACTACGACGACGACGAC